TGGAAAACTCGCTGGAAACTGGGTAAACTTTAAACGTTCGTAACTTCTTCAATACTCAACGAAATCAAGTGATTTAAAAACGAAAATCATACTTCTCGATGAGACGAAGAGAATGATACATTTTTAGACTGCTAAATCATGGTGGTTTGGACCAAAAATGGCTCGAAAAATGGCTAACTCGAGACCAAGACAGCCACTTTCGAGCCATTTTCCGGCCAAAAAACGGTGATTTAGCCATTTAAAAAGGTACCATTCTCTTTGTCTCGTCGAGAAGTATGATTTTCATTTTTGAATCACTTGATTTCATTGAGTATTGAAGAAGTTATGAACAATTAAAATTTACCCAGTTTCCAACGAGTTTTCAAGTTTTCTCTCTGACCAATCAACTTTGAGGCTATTTTCCGGCCATAACCAGAAACCATTGGGCTTTCAAATAGGTATAATTTTATTCTACACTTTCCTATCTTCATTGTGAATTATTATTGGTCGAATTTGGTTAAGAAACGATTGAGTTACGAAACTTTGAAAATTGCCCAAACTTCCGACCAAAAGCTCTTGGACACGAAACAGAGTTTTTAACGGAATGAATAAAATGATGGATGATGGACAATCTCAGGGACCACTTTTATCGATTTGAAATGTTAGGGACCAAACCAAAGTGATGAGTTATGTAAATCTCAGAGACCATTTTGTCTGTTTAGCCTTGTTTTTTTTGCTGAAACCTGAGGTATCCCACATCTTGAAGTGTAGGACTAATCTTAATGAGTCCGAACAGACTAAAGGCATTTAAGCTCACCATTGATCACAGTCAAATGTCACACGTCATTCCAAAACTATCAACCAGATAATCACTCATATTTGATGTACCAAGTGAATATTGAATAATGAACAAGTTATTATTGAATACAAATAAACCAAGGGGTCAGTTGCCATAACGTTATAAATGTTGAACCCATTGCGTCCAAGTCCTGGTTTGAATTCATATAGTTTAAATTAATTTTGTATAGTTAAAAAAAATTAATTTTGTATAGAAAGAATATTATATCATTTTGTAAAAATTTAATACATAAAAAACAAGAACAATGGGAAGTGGGTGGGTCCATGTTTCATTGCAATTACCTAAAGTCCTACACGTGCAAATATTTTAATCATAACGATGGCCATGGATTCATGGTGAGTCCATCTCCAAATCAAGTTTAAAGTCGTTTCTTTGATTTGCTGCAATTAGGATAAAATATGCATTAAACTAATTTTTTTATTTAAATAAAAAAACTAGTTGGTGGCTCAGTCACATAATCTTTTGAAAGAACGAGAAAATTTACAGAGATGTTTCAATTTTTCTTTGGTCATCATCATGTGTGGTGGCTAAGGCACGAAATCTTTTAAAAGAATAAGAAGATTTACAGAAACATTTTAGTCTTTTTCTAATTATCATCTTATGATTCACACGAACTAAAGATCAAACTAGAATAAGCCGTGTAAAATACATATCTAGAATTTACACAAACCATTGAGCCTCTGTGTGGTGATTTTGCATTAAACTAATTGATTCCTCCAAATAAATTATTAGAATAAATTGTCTATTGACTTGAATCTAGTCAGTCTTCATTGGGTCGCAAGTCATTCGTTTGACCGCATTGTTTGGTTAGAAATTGCTTACAAATCTACGGACAGGGTAATGTTGTGCGCGACTCTCCAGAATCCAAGCCGTCCATGGGGTTCTAAATGTTTGTCGCTTCCGTTGCGTGCCACACATTCTGATTAATTATGCAAGTTATCAAAATAGATAAATAAATGAAATTGCTATAATACGAATATAAAACTTGTACATACACCTCATTACAAATAGCTACGTTTCTTCTTTCCTGTGTACTTTTCAACTGTCAACAGATTAAACGTAGATAATTTTTTGTATGTAAAATATTATTAATACACATGTCAAATAGATTATAATTAATTTGATATACATTTGTAGGCCTCACCTGTACTTTTCAAATCTCAATAGAAATAACATATAAAATAGTACTCTATCCATTGAAATTTTTTCTTCTCATTTGATTAGTGGTATGAAATACACATTAGTATGTTGTATTTTGTATTGTACATAATACCATATATAAACCAAGATTTTAAGACTTACGAGCAAGCATGATACTCCAACTCATCACAATCAACTATATAAACTAACATCCCTATTATTTTCTTTCTAATTTTGAATTTAAAAAATTTATTTTTGAATATAGAAATGATATTGAACAAATAATGCGACACAAGACCTCAGGGAAGAACAAGCTCCATCATGTTCCGATATATGTAGTTATAAAAAATACTACTCCTACCAAAATTTTCATGTCACATTTGTACCACATCTCTAATTAATAGAGACGGAACACATATATATTAGCGAGATGATACAAATGTAATATGAAAAATGTGGTAAGTATAACATTATTCTGTAGTTATGTATTTGTTGTGTTATCAATATATAGTTATGTTTTTAAAAGCGTTCTTGACAAATTTTACCAAAAAAAAAAAAAAATAGTATTAATTCAATTTCAAGCGAATTGAATTCAAGTTAATGTATTTAATCATCAAAAGAATTATAAGCTTGTCATTTGTTAAATTATGACGTATTTTTCACCTGAAATAATTATATTTACTAGGGTACAAGTAAAACGTTTCTAAATCCCCACCCCTAACCCACCACCCTACTCCAACAGTGTTTTAGGGTTTCCAAGTTCCGGAATACGCAGGAGCTTTGGAACGTGGGTAGGAGCAGTCATGGTCAAGGTGACTCATGCTCTCGCATGCGCCCGCCATGTGTCAATAAAACAGAGCTGATAATCATAATCCAGATATTATTATCTCAGTCGATCGATCTTTTCACAATTCCGCACAGAGGCCTAAAGACACTGCATCAGACCAGACCAGAAGCCATGCATGAACCACCGATGCATGCACCCGTCGTAGCCTAGAGTTCTTCTCGAGCGCATGGGCATTCATGTGCGCCTCAACTCCCTCGCCCAACAACAACGCCACAAACGCCGCCACGTGTCCTGCTTGGGAACCTGAACTGACGGCTGCCATACTTGGTTGTCGAGTCCCTCCTACACGGCTGCACCTACAGAAGGCTTTTTTATTTGCTGTTGCTGTTTAAATTGACGCGAAAGTGTAGTTTTAATTAAAAATGGTGTGAGAAATATCCAGTCGATTAGATTAGATTTAGTTGCTTTTTAATGGGCGTAATTGTTTAATGTTTATGAGGTAATTTCCAGCTTCAAAACAAAAGTTATGAGATAATATTGTTTGTTAATTGTTGTGTAACTTCTCAAATTTAAAATTGAAAAGAATAAAGCAAATGCAGATGTGCATAATTAATACATAGTCGTTCCTAAAGAAACACAGTAAATACTTCTAAATATTTTCAATTAAAAAGAATAAAGCAAATACAATTAATATAGTATTGCCGGTGGCTATGCTGAAGGTTGCTGTCGTAAAATACCTCATGCCACAACCCCTACGATGGTGGAGTTTTTGGCTGCTAGGGACGGTGTGTGCAATGTGCGTTGGATCACCAGTGGAATCAAGTCATCCTTGAAAGTGATTCCTTACAACTTGTTCATTCACTGGGCAGTTTCCAGCAAGATGTTCCTCCGTTGGTTGTGATTGCAGAGAGGATATCATCAACGCAGGTTTACAACAACTTACTTAATTCAAAGTTTGTCATTCTCGTTGTTCTTCCAATTGTGTGGCGCATAGATTGGTCAAATTGGGCTTAATTTCTAATTTTGATTCTTGTTGATTTAAGGAACCTCCAGATATCATATTGAATGTCCTCCTTGATGGTTGTATGCATTTTAAACGTTCATAATAAAACCAATTCCGCTTCCTCTAAGTAGGTTACTCGTCTATAGAGATGTGATACTATATATTGCAACAGATAAATTTGTTCTCCCAACTATTTTCTTTAAGTAAGTCATCATATAGCGTTGGAGTTAATTTTTCATGATTTTTTTTAATTATAATTATATATTAGGTCAAATATTTATGTTCTAAGCTTTAACCAACAACCCGAACTGAAATCAAAGTCAAGGGAAAGGAGGGATGAAATCCTCGCGCGAGTCAAGTTGACCTAGTGATTAAGTTGTTCATACAATTACTAAACAAATAGAGTAATCTCTTAAAAAGATACGACTACGAGTTATTCGTTGTTAATTTATTAACATAAATATTTCGTCATTTATATTGTGAAATATGGTGTACCACATCTTAATTTGAACACTGAAAAATCTCTTCTCAACTTAATTGTTCTTTGTTGTAATTCCAACCGACAAGACAAACCTGCCCAGGTCATGGAGCAAAATAGTGTCGTGCACATCTTGCGGCGTATCTCCCAAATATTTCCCCTCCCTAATTTTATTAGAACAAAATTTAATAAAAAAATAACTTCTTTCAGTTATAAACTTAGAACCTCTACGCTCCCACTCTTCAGTATAACGGTTTTCTATTTACTTTTCATGTTTCTTTCAATTTTTTTCTTTTTTTTCACATGTTTAGGTTTTTACTCTAAAATTTATTTTTAGAATTTGATGATATACTTCTTCATTTTTGAGCGACAAATTTCATTATTTTTTGAAGAAAAAGATTTTATTTTTTTTAAACTACTCAATGTGACATTTTATTGTCATTTAGTATTACGGTCTGGTAGTACTACTATTCATTTAGAAATGAGAGGTCTTAGATTTGAATCTCGTGGATGAAGAATTCAATACCAAATTAGATTGTCCATTATGTTGTTTAACCAAACTCTCAATTTTTTTAATGTAAAAATATCGATGTATTAAAAAAAAAAAAAAAACCCCGATCTTTTATTCTCCTACACCGATCTTTCATTTCCTTACAAAAGAATGTCTTCGTATCAAATAAAAAAAGAAATTCATAATCCAAGCCAGAAAAAATATGCACCATATCTTTCCTATATATAGCCCCATCAATCAGCTAGTTCTTGGTTCAAACTCAAAAGCCACTCCTCCTTCCCTTCCTTTTTCTCACTGCAAAAGGAAGCCTACCCCCTACTCTCTCTCTCTCTCTCTCTCTACAATCTACAATTCCGCCATGAAAACAGAGATAGAAAGCCTATGGTTATTTGCCCTGGCCTCCAAATGCAGAGCTTTCTCTTTCGAAAGCATTGCATGCACGCTTCTCATCGTCTCCCTCACATGGCTTCTCACCTCTCTAATTTACTGGTGTCACCCGGGCGGCCCAGCATGGGGCCGCAACATCAAAACAATCGGCCCCTTCTCGAAAAAGAACACCATTCCGGGGCCCAGAGGTCTGCCTCTCATAGGCAGCATGTCCCTCATGACCTCCCTGGCCCACCGCAAAATCGCCTCCGCCGCCCTATCCCTCAACGCCGCGCGCCTCATGGCCTTCAGCCTCGGCCAAACTAGAGTCGTGGTCACGTGCCACCCCGACGTCGCCAGAGAAATCCTCAACAGCTCCGTCTTCGCCGACCGCCCCGTCAAGGAATCCGCCTACTCCCTTATGTTCAACCGGGCCATCGGGTTCGCCCCCTACGGCGTCTACTGGAGGACCCTCAGGCGTATCTCCGCCACCCACCTCTTCTCCCCCAAGCAAATTAAGGCCTCCGAGGCCCAGAGGAGGGACATAGCTTCTCAAATGGCGGCAATGTTCGGAACCCACAAGGAGAAACTGGCGGTTCGTGACGTGATCAAGCGGGCGTCGCTGAACAACATGATGTGCTCTGTTTTTGGCAGGAAGTACGAGCTCGAATTCGGCTCCGTGGACAATGAGGTCGAGGAGCTCAAGGGGTTGGTCGACGAAGGCTACGATTTGTTGGGTATGTTAAATTGGTCCGATCATCTTCCCTGGTTGGCCGGTTTTGATGCCCAGAAAATCCGGTTTAGATGCTCCAATCTCGTCCCCAAGGTGAACCGGTTCGTCTCCAAAATCATTTCCGAGCACCGAACCGGTCTCAAATCCGAAAAAGACGAAAAGGCCCCTGACTTTGTCGACGTCCTGCTTTCCCTCCAAGGACCTGATAAGTTGTCCGACTCCGATATGATCGCCGTTCTTTGGGTACGAATTTAAATCGCTCTCTCCCGATATTTATATAAAATCTTCTTTTATCTAAACGCTGTCGTTTGCTGTATAGGAAATGATATTTAGAGGGACGGACACGGTGGCGGTTCTGATCGAGTGGATTCTGGCGAGGATGGTTCTGCATCCCCAAGTCCAATCGACGGTCCACGACGAGCTAGACAAAGTTGTTGGCAGGTCACGAGCCGTCGATGAGACAGATATCTCCCAGCTGGTGTATCTGACGGCTGTGGTGAAAGAGGTCTTGAGGATGCACCCACCGGGCCCACTTTTATCTTGGGCCCGCCTGGCGATCACAGAAACAACGATAGATGGGTATCATGTGCCCGCGGGGACCACAGCCATGGTGAATATGTGGGCCATTTCGCGGGACCCGGAAGTCTGGGCGGACCCACTGGAGTTTGACCCCGAGAGGTTTGTAGCCCGGGAAGGAGAGCAGGAGTTTTCCGTTTTCGGCTCGGATCTTAGGCTTGCACCGTTTGGGTCGGGTAGGCGGACTTGCCCGGGAAAGGCTCTGGGATTGACGACGGCGACGTTTTGGATAGCTTCGCTGTTACACGAGTACGAATGGCAATCGTTGGATGGGAATACCGTGGACTTATCGGAGGTGCTGAAGCTGTCGTGTGAGATGGCGAACCCTCTGGTTGCCAAAGTGCGCCCCAGGTTAAACCTAGCTCACTGAAGCTTTTAGTAGTAGTAGTAAAAGAAGAAGAAAGTAAAAGTGAAAGAGGTTTGTGCAGGGGGTTAATGATTCAAGGGGCATATACCCTTTACTTGTTTGGATATGTTGTCTAGGTCTATCACTATCTTGGATGCCAAGGTAGGTTAAATCTTAATTTATGTAAGTAATGGTGAAAATCAATACAAGTTTGAGTTTCCTAAAGACCAGCATTTACATGCATGCATTCTTACTTCTATAGTATCAATAGAGTAGTGCTAAATAAAATCATTTTGTAGTCGAGCACTAGATTTTTAAACCGAACAGGTCGACGTAACATATTTTACAATATTATAAGAGCGTCACATCTCATTCTCATTCTATATTCTCATTTTATACAAGAGAGTTCTAAAAATGTGAAACTAACAATTCTTTTTATTAGTATCAAAAATATATAATGATATTCAAACAAGGGCTCATGGCAAAACTTGGTTCAAAGAGATTACAGGCTCGTTTGGAAGTTTTTAAAAAGACTGAAAGTGCTTTTGGTGAAATTGATTTTGGGTTCCAAAAGCACTTGAAAACATATCTAGTGCGTCTTGTAGGAAGCACAAGTGCTTTTTTTCCAGGATCTACTTGGATTTTTAATAAAGATCAGTTTCAAAAACAATTTTACTAAAAGTACTTTTGGTCATTCTAAAAACACTTCCAAATAAGCCTTATTTATAAGGTTCAAAATTTAATTGGTATTTCGTTAAGCTTCAAATACTATATAGTTTGAGATCAATTAATTTGTTTTACATAGTAACATATCTTACAATGGTTAATGGAAAAACTTGGTTCAAAGAGACTTTTGTAGAGTTGAAACCTAATCGGTATTTCTTAGAGAGTATTTAATGTATGCAAACTAACCTAGTCAAAAGTGTTATTAACTTCAAAAAATAAAACAAAATTTAATTTCTAATCGGACATATCTAGCCTAGGATAAATAGCTCATGCCATGGCTCTCCAAGGGGGCAGTTTAGTCCCCGCTCCTGTCCAAGGCTCTTCAAGACTCAATTTAAGAAGAAATTAATTGTCAATGAAAACTAATTACCTAATACGTTTTAGCCCCTTACCTCTCACACCACTAGAACAACATAATTTTGAGAGGGCTAAATTTATGAATAATGGTATTTTGAGAGACCAACTAATGCCTTTAACCCCTAGCTTTTACCCTTTCCACTAAAGCCTAAACCACCACATAGTTCGAAATCAATCTATTATTGTACGTACTACATAGAAATAAATCTTTGAAATAGATAAACTATTCTATGTATCTTCTGAGAAAAGTTCATATATATTGTGACTTTTTCCGGTGAATGAGTCAACACTCAAACAACAGTTAATTAATTAATTAAATTAAATCACATTAATATTAATCAAAGAATGATAATGACCCTTAATATTTTTTTCAATGTACAAATTTGTGAGGGGTAGGCGTGCACTGGGGCTGCCTCTGCTGGGCTATATAAAATTTTGACCTTAAAATAAGGGAAGTGTTATTGGCACTTCAAAAATCTCATTCTACACTCCTCACAAATGTATTTTTCTTTCCTAATATAGAAAGTTTGGAGTGTAGAATGATATTTTTGAAGTGCTAATAACAATTCCCTAAAATAATGTGGCTTTTGTTGTCCACAGGACCACAACCCTTTAAGCGATTTTGGACCCTTACAATTGGAGACATATGTTCAGTTGACGGACAATATAAGAATATAACAATATACCATTAGACAAATAGATTTTATAAATCACTTGACAATACAGAAAGTGTGTCATCCAACTCTTTATAAGAATATGCAAAGTTTCTTATTTTTCCAACATTATATTCACACTCTCAACGGTATATATAACCAAGAGCATACTATCCAAAGAATTGACAAGTTAAGTTATCAGAGAGACGAGCTTCCAACAATACCGATATTGTTCCCAACTTGTTAATTATCACCAGCATAGTTCGACAAGTGTCAACTTTTACCACAAACTGCCTTGGTATTAGTTGGGAGTAGGATTAAGATATTTAAACTCTTCTTTTCTCCCTCATCCTGCCAATGTGGTATATTTCAACACGCCCCCTCACTAGGATCCAATTAGTGGGTCAAACGTGAGAGATCCACACATTAACAACCACGTGGAGCCAAGAGACTCACCTAAACCGCAGAGCCAAGAGACCCACCATCATTGCACGGGGTCAAGAGGATCCACCCATCACTACAAAAAAATACGAGCACTGCGAACAATAAATTATCTGAGGCAAAAAAGCATCAACAATTGTGCCCATAGACCAATAGCAACAGTGCAACAATTATATTTCTATTTGTGTCCTCTATAGGCGTTGCCTTTGATGATAGCACACAATAGGATGTTTTGTGCCCAAAGGCTAAGCACAAATAGGGGTTCTTTTGTGTCTCAATTCTGACAGTTTTGACAACACTGACTTTTCCAAGCCATGTTAGCAAAGTTTTGTTTGTGTGCCCAATAGGTAAAATATTAAAAAAAAAAATTCAAATATTACAAACAAGCTTTTACAATTTAGTTATACAAACAATCAATTCATACGAATAATGAAGACAACAATTCCTAATACATGTTTTCTTCTATGAAAGTAAAGCCAATTCCTAGTAGTTATTGTTAATTCGTGTTTTCTTCTTGAATAAGCAACTAAATACATGAGGTTGACAGAGCTTATAACAAACTAACCAAAAAAGAGAGCAAAACTGCCTCTGTTCTAATCCGCTCGACTATTGTAACAAGTCAGAATAATAGTAGGCGCCAAGATTATGACAATAATAACTATTCAAAAAATTGACAAGAGGTAAAAAATTTAGATAAATACCAAGAGACGTGCACGTATGAAAAGCATAATTAAGAATACAATAAAAGATCTCTGAGGAAGGAAGTTAATAACTTTGTATACCTGGTCTTTGCCAGATCTTCCTCTAGACATTGCACTCGTTCTGCAGCCTGGTCTTGAGCCTTTCTTGTAGCTTCCTACATTAGGTCATATTTTCTATCATATTACCAAGTAACAACGATACCAAACATGCACTTCCTTAGATAATATCCAATGATCACAATACCTTAGAACCCTCAAGGAGAAGCTTTCTTGTGGGGATGACCTGCGGAAGGTTCCTGCCAAAGGTTTCTGGCGATGATGGAGCTCAAGAGCCGCCATGATTTGATTTGGGGAAGGAAATGAGAGAAAGGGAGTTGGAGAGAGAGACAGAGGTGAGAAAGAATATGAGGGAGGACGAGTGGAAGAAGAAAGTAAGGGAGAAAGATGATAGAGAGTATGAAAAGGCTGAGTGGGGTGTGGGTGTGGTAGGAAGACACGAACATTGTGTTTTTAAGACCAAATGATTTAAATATATTAAACCAAAATGCAGCAAAATATTTTTATGTGTGTTTGTAAATTAATAAAAAATTATGATTATTGATATCCATACACAGTGACACAATTTTGTGTGCTCAAATTTTAATAGGCACAAACACACTTTCTTGAAGACACCAATTAAGGTGCCCTTTTATTTAGGAGACACATTTGAGATAGTTTTTGTGTTCTATGACATTTAAAAGCACAAATACACATATGTGCTCAACGAAATTGAAAAGGGCACAAATCAATTGTGCTCTTAGACCATTATTTTTTTGTAGTGCATCTTGTGGCATTACAAACTCGTTCCATAACTCTGATACCATAAAATTCATTGAATACTTCGTTGGTTTATTCATCCTCTAGAGTTTACAATATATAGACACATAAGCCTTAGTCTATAAGAAACGTAATTATAAAAGATAAAAGAACAGAATCGTAAGATTACAATAAATTACAAATCTCCTAGAGTATCTACAATATAGTCAACAATGAGAGCATGATTATAGAGTACCAGACCTTCGATTTCTACCGCAAGAAGCAAACCTTTACCTGTTATGAGCAAACAACGTCTTTTTCTAGCTACCTGAAAAATGCATTTCGTGATGAATAAGATTTCTTCAGATCATATATTATTAGACACATCCTGGAGTAGACAACCTGATAGACATCAGGGTTCACATTTGTCAAACAATCATGTTCCTGAACCATGATGTGGACTGGGCCCGTGGCTGAACACACAACACTCCAAACCCCTTAAAATCGAAATGTTCCAACTTATTTGGTAAACAATAATCAACATTTAACTTAAGCACCATGTTGGTCCGTCCCTGTGAATATAAGTGTTCCCCTTCACTCTTTATCTAGCTCCCTTTACCCCTCATTAATTTATTTAAAGACGGATACTGTTTTATCTAGACTTTTTAGGTTTAATTTTTAGTTTTGAAATCAAATATCCACCTCTTCGTTTATCTGGTGCATGTTATGCACCGAAAGATATAGTAAATATTCACATATCATCATTCCCAACTTTTGGTCACTAATCTCTTTGAGCGTGTGGACAGACCTTTCACACCGGTCATACATATTTTCTTTACGATGAACTAATCTAACTAAACTATTCATAACTAAAGTCGAACGGATTGTGATGTAACGATGTGAATTTAAAGTCCCGTGTTAGATAATCAAGATTTCTTGCATGTTTTATTAGAAGTTTGACTACTTCCCTTATACCGCTAGTAACTGTTGTTCAATAAATTTCAACTTTTGTAACTTGTTCAAACATTGTTTTTCATGCAACGTATGCACTTTCATTTACTTGACCTAGACCTTTCAATTTGGCATAATTTTAGCAACATAGTCAGGTTTATTATCTAAATTACCTATTAACAAAATTTTGCTTGTTCATTAAAAGAGAGTGAAAATATAATTTGATCTTTTATACAAAATAAAATGACGAACAGTAATTTAATTTCGCACAAACTAAATTTTGTTGTTTTTCTGTGACAACCCGTCCCAAATTTTATAAATTTTAAAATGTGAATTTACGAAAATGCCCTAGAGGCGGAAAGTTTTGACTTTCATTGACCTACGTGTTGTGAGATGTACTAAATATTCTCTTAGTGTATTCCTGAAGTACTCGATGATACGAACGCATAAACGCATGAAGAAGTGAATTTGGAGTTACAGTTAAATTTTTACGGAACAATAAATCTGGGAAGTACGTTTTGAAGGAGTTCCATTTATTATTTTATATATTTTCATAGGTATTGCTATATTGGGCGAGAAGAGAGACTGGGCATAATAGCCCAATCGGAGAAGGAGAGAGAGAGTTTCAGGAGGAAAAGGAGGGAAGATGGTGGCGAATGGAGAGAAGAGAGAGGATAGGAGGGCCAATCAGAAAGAAAGGAAAGAAGGGCATGAGAGAGAATGAGGAAAGAGGGGGGGAAACCGGGTTTCCCTTGACCCGTGACTCGATTCGTTTCCAGATTTCACCTTGACGTCGATTTCTGCGATTTCTCGGTAAATTGATCGTCGCCACCACTCTTAAATGACTCTAAGACCATCCCTCTACCATTTCCACTTCTGAATTGAAGGAAATGGGCTTGGATTCTTGATGATTCTCACCGAGAGGCTCCGAGGACACCACGGCGGCGACTGGCCGTTTCTGAAGCTACCACCGTCGACCACCACCATGGGTCGACTCTTCATGAACCCAGGAACAGGTCCAAAGCCCTGGTTGGGGCGGCGGAGCACTGGAGGGGGTGGATCGAGGCCACCAAATTTCTAGGGTTCCAACGGGTTTCGAGACAATTGGAGCTTTTCTCGGCCAAATTGGACTTGGCCACAAGTATAAGGTGCCAGTCGTTCGAGACGCCTTGATGCGCATGCTAGAGAATCAAAGTGTGGGCCTGAGGTGAGTGGGTTTTTTCCTTTCTATCGTATATACATATATGTGATTGATAATTTCACAACGTTTATAAATTGAATAATTCATATAATTACTGTGAACTACGAATGACTTGATCCATGTTTAGGGTATGTAGGCAGTCTAGCGAGTCGTTAGATGCAGCCATACAATAAATAAGACTAAATAATCGAGACAATAACCTTGTTTGGGAAATTGAGCAATGTGAAGGAGATTGGTCGAAAATTGAGATTTAACATTATGTTTTAATGGTTAAATGTTGGTTATAAATCAATGTGTGAAGAATCGTAACATCGAAGTGAAAAATAGTTAGTAATGATAGTTAATTAAACTAATGTTTAGTTTGGCTTATTACCGATAATTATTTCCGAAGGTAAATAGTTCGGGAGTGGGGCAATACAGCTTATGCATTTTATGCCATTTGTATATATATTTATATATTTGGAAATATTATGAGATGGTTGAATTTTGGATTTACATCCTGGTATATCCATATGTATGTTACTTGCACATAATTAAAGGTAAACGCTCTGAAGTGCAAAGGTGAACGCATGATGCACATGTAAGTTCAAGTGAGTATATAGTATTAGTTGAAATGATGGGATTATGATATGACTACATTTATGTTTTAGGCAACTCCGAACTTGTCGTACATGTTGCCCATGAGTCGTACATATTGTATTAGATGCATTTAGAGCACATAAATCTGCACCCCGGTGTTAGTGCCGCCGCCCGTGGCCAGTGCACATTCCTTCACGTGATGTTCACCTCCCGCAGCTTACACTCACCATGGATCCAAGGTAGGTGTACAGTCCTGTCGTACAGACCACTATAGGTGGCTCCAACTCGTAGGTGACATGTGATTATTTGCACAGTCTTCACGTGATCGTATCACTTGAGTGTAAATATATATAAATATATATTTACACCCAGTCCTGTCGTACAGACCACCTTAGGTGGTTCCGACTCGTGTGCAGGTGCGGTGCCGTACATGTCACTTTAGGTGACTCTGGCTAGATTGACTTATGAGCTAGCATTGATTGATGAGATATGATTATAGTCGTACAGGTCACTAGAGGTGACTCCGACTTATGAGCTAGCATTATGAGCTAGCATTGATTGATGAGATATGATTATAGTCGTACATGTCACTAGAGGTGACTCCGACTTATGAGCTAGCATTAATTGATATGGGCTAGCATTGATTGATGAGATATGAGAATAGTCGTATAGGTCATTAGAGGTGACTCTGACGTGCGTGCTAGTATGAGTTATTAAACAAATGATTATTCAAATGCTGATGAGATGTTGTGTCGTGTTATACTTTTGAATTTACTGTTAGTATGCATTTGATTTCATACTTATACATAGTATCATTTTCCGTCAATCATACATATCTACGGCGAGGAGCTATTACCCTTGACAATTGAATTGATTTTGGAAATCTTTGTGTCGCTCACTCACACTTTCTATTTTTGCACCCCTCCAGGTTCTAGTAGAAAATTTTCGTATCGACGAGGATTTGTGGCACTTCCCAGTTCATGTGACTCATTTTGATGGTATAATCATTATCTTACCTTACTGTACTTTACTTATGCTCTGTATCACGCGTGAAATGGGTCCAAACCCACTCACTGCGTACTCAGGTATATAGACACTTTTAATTTTAAATTTATTCACATTTCACACATCATCACACCTTATGGCTTCGTCACCCTCTAGGTGTCGGTCAACATAGCTCGATTCGGAGTCCTAGTGGACATTCTGGGTTGGGGTGTGTCATTTTCTCTTTCCTCATTTGTAGAAAATATAAACTTGATAATTCTATTCATAGCACAAAGGCTAACATATACAAGCATGTAAGCTTAACGTACAAGTAGGGATCTTACAAATCAGAAATACAATAAGAATCAGATTACAATATTAATTCCTTAACCTTAGGAGATATTATTTCCTCTGACAAAACTCCTCTAAAACACACCCCCCCCCCCCCAAAAAAAAAAATTGGAGCTAAGAGGCAACTAGGTTGACAATACTCATTTTCTAACACCATCCACATGTCATCATCGCATATCTTTAACTTTAAGAAATAAAAATAAAATAAAAACCTCCCCTAAGTAGGTTCTCTCTCCCCCCTTCCAACGAGAAAAAACTTATGTGGTGCTTAAAGTGCCACTAGACAATGCCTAATGGCACTACAACTCAATCAAAATTTGACATGTGGCAAGATTTAATTATGATTTCATAGTTATAGTTTACCTTTTAAAGATTTCACAATTACATAAAAACTGAAAATATATTATAAAGTTTAGTAAAATTAAGAATAGACTTCAATCACCCAATCAGAGCACTCCTCCACCTGAGAATTCACCCCTCCCTCGTTGGTGCCGAAGTCGGTATTGTTAGACTAAACTTTGAGGGAATAAGCTATATATTTTCCATTATCATAGATTTTCCTTTCATGGTTAGCCCAATTTTTGAAAAATAAAGGAGAAATATTTTGTGTTTGCAGAAAATGGTTCATCATTGGAAAAAAATAAAAAAACAAAAGAAAACAAATCCAGGTCAAATCATATGTAATCCTGTTCATGACCAAAGTCTATACAATTCCAATTAATCCATTGAGAGAAAACATGAAGTGATGGGGTTTCAGTTCTATGGAGACAAAAGAGATTTAACACATAAACTGGAGGAATGTGATGAATGCAACAAGCATCCCTTACTTAGGAAACTAACCAACACATGTTAAAGTTTATTTTCCAGGCTTTTCCAGTGGAGGAAGTCTGGGTGGGTTTTTGTTTTATTTGTTTTAAGATTGGAAATAATATTTTTCAGTTTTTATGT